GATCTTCCTCGGAGGTCTGGCTGAATTAACTCCTTTTTCATACAAGTGTTCGTCCACTTCCTTATACAGCGTGCAAGCCATGGCCCACTATTAACAATATCTGCGACTGTTTTTGATGCTTCTATTTTTTTTTGACCTTGCAAATGTAAACGAAGGAAATAAAGAACTGCCAAATAATGAGCCTTCTCAGTTGTTGAGAGCACTTTATCATCCAATTCTTCTTCTACAAATTCAATTACACTACGAATTTTTTTTTTTTTTGGTCCAATTCTTCATCTAATTCGTTACCTAATTCATCGTCACTCTATTAACTAACATTGTTAATCCTATATTGAAACTTGATTTTTTTTTAAAAAAAAAAAGCCTTCTAACCTGATCACCCTGGTCTTGAAAGTCCCTATAACTTTCATCATTATCTACCATTAGTGGTTGTATACTGGAAAAAAAATGCGTAATCTTCAAGCTTCTGATAGCTGCTTCTCTGAAAGTCTTATTTCTTCTTTGTCTTGTATGTTTAGAATTCTCAATATAGACAGAAGGGCACCTTTTTTTTTTAGATCCCACTGTTGAAATCACACGAAGTTGCTCGATGATTATATTCGCATCATCAAGGTTGTCCAGGTCTATAAAATTATCATCTGAACTTTCATCTGAATTGCTACTAGAATCAAGGTATTCTTCACTTGAATCAAGGTCAACAAGAGAGTAAGATGCACGTGCAGAACAAGCTACCTCTGCTCTTTTCTGCTGCCACTTTTTAGTAATTGTCAGTTTTGGCATTACGAAATAAGGAAAATTGGGTATGAATGCTTTTTTTTTTATAAAATAAAGTTCACTAGTTTTTTTTTTTTTTAGGCCCTTTTATATATATTCTACATTTCGGCCTATTTAATATGTTGTTATACTGGGGAAAAAATCTCATACTTAAAGGTGCGACATCAAAAAATATGCAATTTCTTCAATATTATGAAATGGGGTAAGACGCAATTCCTTTAATATTATGAAACGGGATTAGAATCAAAAAGCGTTATCTATTATTTATTCAAAATTTTGTGAAATTTGTTTAAGATTCTATTTGAGAAGAAAAATCCAACATACAATTGCTTGCCCATTTATATTTGACCTATCTCCTGACCTTTTTTCAAGACAATTATGTATTAATAATTTTCACATACATTAAGGTTTGCGCCTTTACTAAATAATATTAGTATGCATGTAAGTATACCTGAACTTAAGTATGTTCATACGTACGTACGTACGTAGATTTGATTTTTCTCGATTTTTTTTTCAAAAAGAAACTAACCTTTTTTTATTATATAATGGTTTTGCCTTTTATAATACCTATTTTAATCATATAATTTACATGTTCACTTGTCTAAACTTTCTAAACTTCACTAAACTTCAATTTACTTCACAAACAAACTAATCTTTTTTTATTATCGTAATGGTTTTGCCTTTTATTGTCTATTTTGATCACATGATTTACAAACTTTTGCGGTATCTTGCTATTCTTATCATTATGATATACATGATTGTGATTTGAGACATATTATATAATCATTGCACATTTGAAAAGAACAAATTTGTGGTCACGTCTTGGTAAGAATGAGTAATATTAACTGCAGTGGATTGTTAATGCATAAACGCTATTTGTATAATTGGCATCGTTTTGCACATTATATATTAGTATTTTGTGACATGCATAAATGGATTGCATAATTTTTAATAATAAACATTAGCCAATAAAGTTACTGACACATGACTATCATTAATATGATTAGTTAATTTCTTTGCATCAAATTTCTGCCTTACT